ACTCTGCCCTGAAAGTTAGGTCTTCATTTAGAAGAATTATGACGCTTCGTGGTGAAAGCCGAGTTTCCTTCGGAAGCCGCGAGGCCGATGCCCCTTCTAACAACCAGAGCAAAAATTTTTATAGGTACATGGAACGTCCGGACAATGTGAGAGACCGGGAAGACCAGTCAAATAGCAACGGAAATGAGGAGATACAACTTGGCAGTACTGGGAATCAGCGAAACTCTTTGGATCCAAGCTGGACAACAAAGGCTAAATACGGGAGAGATGCTGCTATACTCCGGTCACGAAGAGGAAAATGCTCCACACACTCAGGGAGTTGCTCTAATGCTGTCCAAAGTAGCACGAAATGCACTTGTAGGATGGGAATCTCACGGATCCAGAATCATCAAAGCATCATTCAAAACAAAGAAGGATGGGATCTTAATGAATATTATCCAATGTTATGCACCCACCAATGATAACAACGACGACATTAAAGATCAATTCTACGAGCGGCTGCAGTCAATCATAGAGAAGTGCCCAAGAAAGGACCTCACCATTCTGATGAGAGATCTAAATGCCAAAGTCGGAATAGACAACACTGGATATGAAGATATCATGAGACGACATGGACTGGGTGAGAGAAACGAAAATGGAGAAAGATTCGCAAATCTGTGTGCATTCAACAAATTGGTCACAGGAGGCACAACATTTCCACACAAACGTATACACAAAGCTACATGGATCTCACCGGACCACACAACAGAGAACCAGATAGACCATATCTGCATCAATAAAAAACCCCGAAGGACAATGGAAGATGTGAGAACCAGGAGAGGAGCTGATGTAGCTTCAGATCACCACCTAGTGGTGACCATTTTAAAACTGAAGCTAAAGAGAAACTGGACAACTGGACAAATAGCAATACAAAGGTTCAATATAGCCTTCCTTCGAGATACTAACAAAATCAAAGAATTCAAGATAGCTCTCAACAACAGGTTCCAAGCCTTACAAGATCTACTGAAGGAAGAAGGAACTACTATGGAGGACAACTGGAAAAGTATCAAAGAAGCGTTAACTTTAACGTGTCAAGAGGTTCTGGGCCTAAAGAAGCACCATCATAAGGAATGGATCTCTATAGAAACACTGGACAAGATCAAAGAAAGGAAGAACAAGAAGACAGCAATTAACAACAGCCGAACACGAACAGAGAAAGTCCAAGCACAAGCTGAATACATAGAAGCAAACAAGCAAGTGAAGAAAAGCATTAGAGCCGACAAGAAGAAATACATGGAAAAACTAGCAACGACGGCGGAAAAAGCTGCAAGGGAAGGAAATATGAAACAACTTTACGATACAACGAAGAACCTAGCAGGGAAATACAGTAAGCCAGAGAGACCAGTCAAGGACAAAGAAGGCAGGCCAATCACTGAAATTCAACAACATCGGAAAAGATGGGTAGAGTACTTCGAGGAACTCCTGAATAGGCCGGCTCCAATGAATCCACCGGACATCGAAGCGGCGCACACAGATCTTCCTATAGATGTCAATCCAACAACGACGGAAGAAATCAGAATGGCCATCAGAAAAATCAAGAGCGGGAAAGCAGCAAGACCCCACAAGATACCAGCTGAAGCACTAAAGTCAGACATCGAAGTAACTACAAACATGCTTCACCTTCTATTCAAAAAGATTTGGGAGGAGGAACAAGTGCCGATGGACTGGAAAGAAGGACACCTCATCAAAATTTCAAAGAAAGGAGATCCGAGCAAATGTGAAAACTACAGAGGCATCACATTACTGTCAGTACCCGGGAAATCCTTTAACACAGTGTTACTGGACCGGATGAAAGACGCAGTAGACGCCCAACTTCGAGATCAACAAGCTGGATTCCGTAAGGATCGGTCGTGCACAGACCAAATTGCGACACTGCGAATCATCGTCGAACAATCAGTTGAGTGGAACTCGTCACTATACATCAACTTCATCGATTATGAAAAGGCGTTTGGCATTGTGGATAGGAGAACATTATGGAAACTTCTCCGACATTATGGAGTTCCTGAGAAGATTGTCAGCATTATTCGGAACTCATACAACGGACTACAGTGCAAAGTCGTGCATGGAGAACAGCTGACAGATGCATTCCAATTAAGGACCGGAATAAGACAAGGTTGTCTACTCTCTCCGTTCCTCTTTCTTCTGGTGGTCGACTGGATTATGAAGACCTCGACATCTGAGGGAGAACGCGGAATACAATGGACAGCTCGGAATCAATTAGACAATTTAGACTTCGCAGATGACCTGGCCCTCCTATCGCATACACATGAACAAATGCAGATAAAGACAGCCAGTGTAGCACCAGTCTCTCCATCAGTAAGCCTCAACATACACAAGGGGAAAACCAAGGTCCTAAAATTCAACACAGAGAACAGCAACCCAATCCCTCTTGATGGCGAAACTCTGGAAGATGTAGAATCCTTCACATAACTGGGAAGCGTAATCGATGAACAAGGAGGATCAGATGCAGACGTAAAGGCGAGGACTGGTAAAGCAAGGGCCGCATTCCTTCAGTTGAAGAACATATGGAACTCAAAACAACTGTCAACCAATATCAAAGTCAGAATCTTCAATACGAATGTCAAGGCAGTTCTACTGTACGGAGCTGAAACTTGGAGAACTACTACAACCATCATCAAGAAGGTGCAAGTATTTATAAATAGCTGTCTACGCACGATACTCAACATCCATTGGCCGGATACCATCAGCAACAGCCTACAGTGGGAGAGAACAAACCAGCTTCCAGCTGAAGAGGAAATTAGGAAAAGCCGATGGAAATGGATAGGACATACACTACGTAAATCGTCAAACTGCATCACGAGACAAGCCCTAACTTGGAATCCTGAAGGAAGGCGGAAAAGAGGAAGGCCAAAGAACACATTACGTCGGGAAAAGCAGATATGGAAAGGATGAATAACAACTGGAAGGAGCTCGAAAGGATTGCCCAGGACAGGGTTGGATGGCGAATGCTGGTGAGCGGCCTATGTTCCTTCACTAGGAGTAACAGGAGTAAGTAAGTAACCAACTGTGATAATTTAGATAATTAAGATTAATTGATCAGAATATTTGCTTTTAAGTCTCATTGTGTATACCACAGATCTTTTGGGAAATCAAACTACAAAGGCAAATGACTTTAAGTAAGTTGTAAACAATACAGTAGTATTCCTTTATTGAATAGTATGTGCAGCAAATGAGGATGGGTTTGACAGACAATCATAAGATTAGCAGTACTCAATGTAAGAAGTTACGTTCACCAGAAGTTCACAAAAACAGAATTCGGATCGATGATAAAAAGTGAGCTGAATTTATGTGAAAAGAAAGCATATGACAGAAAGGTTTATAGAGGATACTGATATAGAATAATATGAACTAAGCCCAATAAATAAGGTATCCGACAAGTCAAACATAGGATGAAAGCTAAAAGTCATACGAACTAACACAGTTACTGAAACTTCAGTATGCTAGAAATACATTTTTCTTTAGTGGATAAAACCGAAACATATCTTGGACCTTATAATCGCACACGAACACAAAACAGGTAACTTAGTTCGATTGGCTTCTTGTATAGTAAACAGAATTTTTAGATGCGATATTCCCAAATACCTAAATCGGAATACTTCTTCAATTAGCAAAAATACATAGAATAATATTTTTGTGTAAATGGTAATGTTAGATTGAGGGTAATGCACAGCATGATTCCATAAATGTTGCCAACAAAAAATGTCAGCTTCCGTGACGTAGATTGTCATTTAATCTTTTGTAGTCCATAGCTTGATCCGATATTGTAATCAGTGTTATTTTGTATTAAAAATGAAAATGAAATGAATAAATAAGCATTGAATGTTTACTTAATATTCCGAATCTAATGTAAACAGTTAGCCTGCACAGAACAGGCAAAGCTCACGGCCCGTGAACGCCTTTCATAATTAGAAAATTAAATTAGGCAGTTTTACCAAACATTGGGACTTTACTGTTAGTGATAACAATGGTAATCAACAGTCATATCTGAAAGTGTTTAACTAGGTATGTTATTAGCACTAACGACAGTCTGCCGGTGAATATCGAGGCGAGACAGTGTAAACTTTGATGCACTACCGAACACCAACTTGCGTAAAATACGAACACACCCCAGTAAACTTCGAGCCGCTTAGCACAAACATCTGACAAAACTGCTTACATCCTGCGATAATAATGCACACAGTACATTCACTTGATATTGTTTTACTTGAATCTTCCCATTGATGTTTTAGGACTGAAATTGATCAGTCTCTTATTGGCATATGTGCATACTGTGAGTATGCCTCGATATTGCCTTAATTTACAAGCATTATAAGCAAAAATGGATAGTGGCTAACAGTGGAATCCAGGACGCGCGTTTCGTCCTGTTTGGGACTCGTCAGTTGGATGTACCTGCATCTCAGAGTTGATGTTCACGGCTAACCACTATCCATCTTTGCTTATAATGCTTGTAAATTAAGGCAATATCGAGGCATACTCACAGTATGCACATATGCCAATAAGAGACTGATCAATTTCAGTCCTAAAACATCAATGGGAAGATTCAAGTAAAACAATATCAAGTGAATTAAACTTCACTCCATTGCACAAGCAAGTGGCTACCAGGACTCAGTAGCTAAGTGGATAACGCGACGGCATTTGAAGCGAACGGTACTGAGTTCGAGTCCCAGAGTGAACACCAACTCTGAGATGCAGGTACATCCAGCTGACGAGTCCCAAACAGGTAGAAACGCGCGTCCTGGATTCCACTCCTAGCCACTATCCATATCTGCACACAGTACATGTTTTAAGAAAAAGCTATGAATTAACTGATTATAATGAACCCTAGTTTCAAATATCATAGTATGAGGAGCTATGTGAATTTTCAACATATGCAGAAACAGGTGTTTAAATCACATTAATAAATGAAAAAATTTGTGTTTGAAAGATGAGGTGAGACTTACTGCTTTATAACTCGAATATCTTCATGGTAGCTATATTCGAATTTCTGGATACCAATGGCATTAGGATTATCTTTAGTACAAGGACGCAATTTAACTGGAGTATACTCATTTGCACCCATTGCATCCAAGCATAAATATGAGTCGGCAACCGATCGAATCTCTCCATCAGCCTTAGATATTGGTTCGATGAGTGGGTACTTCTTAACCAAATCAAATGCTATTTCTGTCATAAACCACTTAAATGACTTGCACTTAAGTTTCTCTCGGATTTTGTGCTGCTTGGTCAAGTCACCTGCATCCAAATCCCTGTATCTTGGTCGCCGTTTATACAGATACTCTTTATATTCATCCATCCAAACTTCTGCTACACGTCTATGAAGGAAGCGATAATGCTCAGTAAAAAAAAGAAAAATATTTACTTGGCCTTTATTAATTCCTTCAACATCAGTTATTTATCATTAGGGTCCACTATTTACAAAACAGCAAGAGTAAATCATAGATTTTAACGCATAGAATTCCCACCTATGGCATTAATATTCTATGCTGTCTGGTGATACTGAGTTCACTTTTTACCACCTAGGTTCATATAGAGACGAGAAAATGATTATTCAAGTTTCCTAATGACTCAATTTGTTTAGGTATGTTAAATAGTACAAGTTGTTGTAAACCTATATGTGGTCAACCTGGTTGAGTGGATTGTAAATCCAGACTATTTCAAACCTTAAAATCCCCTCGTTACGACCTATAAAAGCAGACAAAACTCTATTACTTTGAAGAGATTTGAGGGAACTTGTGTGTTGTCCTATAGTTTCCACAACTGAAACAACAGAGAACTAATCAGCTTCGTAGTCGTATTTTTAACATTTTTTCCAAAGTATTCAGTCTGAAGGACTGAAAACAATTATAGGGTTCATTGAAAGCTAACATTCTTATCAATCGCGCAGACCAGCTTTCACCTTTGTCACTTTCGGGCTGATACGGAATAAAATATCAGAACGAGTAGACAGTGCAGTTGATATTTACCAAATTATAAGAACTGATGTTTCACTCACCACTGAGCACTAGAATCGTTGGCCATGGTGACACTTGAGGAGGAAACCGAAAGAGGAAGTTTAGAGTTGAAAGTCGATGTAGGAGGAATAATAGGAAGTGAAGACGGAGGTTGATTATGAATACAGTGGTCTCGAGTGCTGTTAGAGGTATGAGGGCGGTTATCACTTCCCGGTTGCCCACACCGAGGAAGGGTTGTTCTGGAGGTACCTGAAAAGGAAATTGGATTAGAGGTGGTCTCAGTGACCTGAGAGCGTGACCGCAGTGCCCAAGGGACAACTGCTTGAGGCCGGTCGCGCACGGCCTTTTCATGGGAGGTTTTTGACGTGTTAGCTCCGTCCTTCAAAGGGCCTTACCGCCGGAGACGGAAATCCGTGAGGTAAGGTGAGATGTGCATTTTTAGGGTCGACCTTTTCTAACCCCACCCCTCCTTGTGGGAAGGCAGCATCGCTGTCATGCTGGTTGTCTGAAGGAAACATCTTACTGCTGTCACACCTCTGTACAGTCAGCAGTACGACTTCGCCTTCGGACCTTGGGTTTGTTGCTTTTAGTCTTACCGCTCTTCAACCGACCTGTCTGACATGGTAGGACCTTGAGGAACGGTTGTTCCAGCCAGTATAGCTCGGTTGCTTCATCACGATAGGCAAGCCCAACCACCACGTCAAGGTAGCAACAACTCTTGGTGACATGGCTCAGAATCGATCACAATGGCATCGTTGTATACACTCCCTGTCTTCCCTTAAACTAAGAGATTAAAATCACTTCATATCTTTCTTTCTACGAACCAATTCTTTCTTCTTGTACTATATCTCTACATGCAATCTTTCTCTTATATATTACCACCTTTGACCTAACCACTGCTATGAATCCGGTGTTCATCTTGTTGTGCTGATGCGGTATGGCAACCTGGACCGATGCACATATGTGCCTGGTCCTACGTTGTAGCTGACTGACTGACTGACTTCACCATATCTTTTAATTACTACTAGCATCTAGTCACACTGTACAAGTCAGTCAGTCAGCTACAACGTAGGACCAGGCACATATGTGCATCGGTCCAGGTTGCCATACCTCATTAGCACAGTAAGATGAACACCGGATTCATAGGAGTGGTTAGGTCAAAGGTGGTAAGTCAGTCAGTCAGCCACACTGTACAAGTAGTTCGGTCATATTTTCATACACACGAATGATCTGAGGTGAAAGTATGAGGATGATTCATCATCCTCTAGATTTATTTAAGCTAACCAGATATGTAGTGAAGGAGAACAGCATATTATCGAACTGGCTACTTTGGGAATTTCCAAAAAACATTTGTTCTCTGAGTAAATCAGGGGTCATTTATTTGAGTATTTTAACTCAATGTCGACTGATACTATGCAACAAATCTAATATATACAAGGTCCCAGATGTTAGTGGAAATACAACAGTTATTTCAATTACTTACTTCACCAAAAAGTCCATAATTCTACTTTCATGAAGTTATGTAGATATTGACTACACTTAAGTTACTCAGGTTAGCATGTTACACGAAATAAAAAGATCAGCCTATCAAATTGACTACCCAAACTAATTTGCATAATGAAGCTCTTATTGAAGTGTCCTGGGTCAAAATGATGATTTTTATGCGTCCAGATATATTCTGTAGGTGAAAATGTGTTTCCCGACTTTTCAATCGTGGTAGTTACTGCCTTATCCATATTTATCCACCACTTTAGGTTGCGATATTTTCTATTAATGTGACGTGTGGCACAAAACTTGCTAATGACTTAACTAAATGTTTTACTTAATGGCAACAGAAAACTTTGAGTAGTCATGTGAAACAGCATTTTCTAGTCATATTCAACATTACACTTCTGACCGTATAGTGGTGGGATACGATATTAATTTAAATCCATTTATACTTATCTGGATCCTAACCTGAATCCACAATGATAGCAGCGATCGACCGCTGGCAACGCTAGACCATGTGGGTGAAATTCATTTTTAATTGTGTCATCACTTTCAAAATTGAACAACTTATTGTCTAAGTTTAATTAGTATTTTACCTGCACATTTCTTGTTTACAAATTGCACCAGTCTGAGGTGATTAAATCCTATCCTTGGTATATAGTCAACTGATCGGTTTGTTGTAGTTAACTAAAAATAAGGACACAAAAATTTGTTCTGATAAGACATGAGAGACACTAAAGCCGTCATGTAGTTGAAAACTAGAGGAAAGTTGGTTTTGCGACTATTAAGCTAAAAGTATGGATTTAGCCAACATATATCACCGAAGAGTTAGGTAGTGTCACCACTTCTTATAGAAAATGCATGAATCTGAACTCCAGTAAAGAAATTTTCTTAGATTTCAATTGAGTACGCGAATCATAATTGTGCGGTCAAAATTACACAAAAAATTCAAAGAGCGAAGTAAAATATATGTCGATTTTGTACAAATCAGTGTACTTTGTCTTAAACTATAATGTTATCGAATGTTAGAAATAAACTTAAAAATTCAACGGAAAATACCGTAGACGATGTCCTAGATAGTCAGTAAAATAATACAACGGTTTCACTCACTTGTAATTACGACCAACAAAGTCCCCAAATTCTGCTTTCGGAAAGTTAGTTGAGTATTTACGATATATATGGCCTATTCTGGAACACGGGGCATCAATCATACGCCCTCCACACATCCAAATCTTGAACGATAACTCGTATTGCTCCCCACCCCAAATAACAAGACCAGGATCATAGCCTCCAAGTTCCCAGAACCATTTCGCACTGATAGCAAACAGACCTCCTGCCATCACTGGACTGTCAAAAGGCTCCTCAGGATGATATCTATCTTCTGGTAATCGTGGAAGGCGCTTATAGTACAACTCCCAGTCAAATGCTCCCCGAGCCCCTTCATCTTGTGCACGATATTCAAAAGTATTTGCATCTATTATATCAATAAATGGACAAACAACAGTTTTGTAGTTCGCAACAATTGGATCAAGTAGCGGCGGAAGCCAGTTTATTCCTGCTTCACAATGAGAATCCAGAAAAATGAGCACTTCTCCAGCAGCTTCTCTGGCGCCTGCTGTTTTCGCTCGAATAAGACCTCCCCTCTGTTCCAGGTGAATTACACGTACTATACCACTTGGATACGCAGTTGCAAGATGATTATCAAGTTCATCTTTCAGATATTTTCGTGAGCTTCCATCATCAACCAAAATTATTTCCTTGATTAGTCCTGAAGGAGCTCGATTCAAAACAGATGCGACTGTGCGTAGGAGAGTCTCCCAATGCTCTTCAAAAAAAGGGATAATCACTGAAGCAGTAGGAAGGTTGCTGGAATATAGTTTTCCTTTACAACGTGGATGGCGGAGATCTTTAATAGATCTATCTGTTTTGATTTTCCCACTAACATACACACTAAAACCGTTCTCATTTATAGTTTTATTGGATAGTTCTCTATCGAGAGGGGATAGTTCGAAAGCCATGCCGTTCTCTCCAGGTCCCACTCTCGAACTTTCAAGTGCAGTAAGCGAGTAGTTTTCCCAGTCTATTTTAAATGGCTTTACATTGTGTACACTTGCAAAATCTTGATTCCGGATGAGTTGGCTTATAGAATGAGGTCCAGATAGCGCTTTATCCAAATACTTATTATATATAATAGCGATACAAAGTAGGAATAGTAGGGAGATTAAAGATAGTCGAACTAACCGAGAAGGATGCACACGCATCTGCCACGCAGAATAAGCAACCAAGGTCAAACTTAATGTGGTCGTTCAATTCAAGGGCAAGAGGTTATAAATCGAGACAAAATGTCTCATAACAAGCTTGGGTGAATTAACCGTTCGTTTAAGCACAGACCTATATGTTCAAATTTAGGAGAAAGACGGAGAAAAATTTAACTTCATATGCTAGGTTGCGTTTAAAGGCTTCATTTGTGGTATGTGCATATACCTACAATATCAATATATTTGAGACCAACTTGTTTAGATCGATGGATTTCTTCGCACTCACCTCTTGCTGTTTCACTACGGTTCCCGGTATATGGTGATGTCCAATGTATGGTGGTCTAGCCACTCGACTGCACCAATTCTAGTCACTTAGACAGATATTTGTGGATTTGCATATCTTGAATTTGAGTGGGTGTGCTTGTCTCAGGACAGTAGGCATCCCGGATACCAGCAGTTATCACATCACCAAATAGGAGGTTGGTTGGTCACAATGTGAAGATTACCACGTGATAATTCCAGTGCTGTGAGGAGACGATTGCTTCAAGCATAAGTGTAGCGGTAAATAAATCCCCAAAATAAATAGCTCTAAGTTTTCGACATTGGATGCTGACCATATGTTTTAGTGGACTCATCTAGCTGAAGGCGCTCGGTCATGCATCCGCACCAGATCACGTGTGGTAACACCGTGCTCAACATCAACCGCAATCGCTAGCCAGATTAGATCAGAGAATTCCGATATATTGGTAATCGCCAAATACACTCTTCCGATCTCCTCGACTCTGTCTTTTGATTTCTCTAGGTGGGAACGAAATATATTAGGTGTTACTGGTAGAAGCGTTGTCAAACACTGAATACCGGTGTCACCATCATTGGTGAGACCGACGTGATCTGGTACACCTAATTGCAACTGTGAGTCTGTTCCTTTTTGGGATTTTTATATATCATTTCCTTATTTTTTCTTATTTTTTTTAAACATTGTGATTTTTTTTCGTTTTTTTCTTGGATATATATATATTTTCCCCTCGTTCGTTATCGTACTTCATACTTCATCATGACTGAACAGACACCTAAAGTACTCAAGCTTAAGACTTTGTCCCCGCCTTCGTTTCAACTGATGCCTTTCTGGCCCGACAACATCGAAGCCTGGTTTTGCTACGCAGAAGCCGACTTCTCCGAGCACGGCGTGATCGACACACGTACACAATTCCTCGCAGTAGTCAAGGCACTACCGTGCGAATTCAACAGGTACGTAACACCTAGTATGTTTACTAGTGATGTTTCCGATCCTTACGAAATCTTGAAACGTTCGATTCTTAAACGAGGAGACCTAACCGATCGACAAAGGTTAGATCAACTCTTCAATAACATCGACCTGCAACACGGTTCTGCGACGGACATGTTGCAACGGATGAGAGAGGTGATAGGCCCAAGAACTTTCGACGAAGGTCTATTCAAACAACTCTTCTTGTCAAAACTTCCCCAACAGGTGCAAGCAGTTCTGGTCTCGTTCCAGAACAACGCCTTAGACGAGCTAGCTGCATCTGCCGACCGCATTTTATAAATTACGAAACCTTCTACTACCGAGGTATTTTCAGTCAAAGAAAAACCTCAAACGACTCAGAATGATATAACCGAGTTATGTCACACACTCACGCGTTATCTTAGTCTTCGTACCGACCGTAAGAGATCGCGCACCCCACGTAGAAGCATTCCATGTAAGCTATCTGTCTCTAGACCACGAGAGACGGATAACCCCGACTGGTGCTGGTATCATAACCAGTATGGAAAGTTTTCCAGAAATTGCAGAAAACCCTGCAATTTTCCCAACTCAAAACCGACTGACACGAAAAACAACTCGGGAAACTTCCAAGCCGGCACGCGTTAACGGCAACCGTAGCCGGCGAACATAGCCGTCTGTTATACGTCACAGATGTGACAACGAGAGTTCGCTACCTCGTCGACACTGGCGCAGAAGTTAGCGTTCTCCCAGCAAATCCTAACGACCGACTTCACGAATCGACTCTAAACTTACAGGCGGCAAACGGAAAACCGATCGCTACGTATGGCAAAAGGTACGTTTACCTTAACGTGGGTTTACGCAAACCCATTCACTGGATCTTCGTTGTTGCAGATGTTTCTATGCCAATCGTTGGTATGGATCTTCTACAACACCATAATCTGATCATCGACGCGCGCAAACGGAGGCTAGTAGACGGAAACACTAATTTATCCGTTTGCGTAACTTCTTTTACTGGTTGCAAATTATCCCCAGTCACAATTAAACATATGATAGACCCACTCTATCAGCCACTTCTCGATAAGTATCCTGGGATACAACAAACGCAACCGAGATTACCGTGTGTAACCAGCAACGTTACACATCACATCACGACTACAGGACCACCTGTATTTTCTAAAGCACGACGACTAGCTCCCGAAAAGCTAAGGTTAGCGAAAAACGAATTCGACCATATGATAGACTTAGGAATCATACGACCGTCAAGTAGCCCATATGCATCTCCGTTGCACATGGTCCCTAAAAAAGACAGCAACGATTGGCGTCCAACTGGTGACTATCGGCGATTGAACGCGAAAACCATTCCCGATCGTTACCCATTGCCTCACATTCACGATTTGACAGCTACCTTGAAAGGTACAACTGTCTTTTCGAAAATCGACTTGGTTAAAGCGTATAACCAAATCCCCATGGCTACTGACGACATACCGAAAACAGCTATCATAACTCCTTTCGGACTCTATGAATTTTTGCGAATGCCTTTCGGTCTAAGGAATGCTGCTCAAACATTCCAAAGATTCATAGACGACGTTTTTCGAGGTCTCAACTTCGTACACGCGTATGTTGATGACTGTCTAATCGCAAGTCCGGACAGAGAAACACATCTCAAGCATCTGGATCTTGTTTTCGAACGACTTCAAAAACATGGCATAACTGTAAACGTTCAGAAATGCCAATTCGGAACCGACTCATCAGACTTTCTGGGACACACTATCGATGCTCAAGGTATCGACCCCTTAGAACCAAAGTGGCGGCCATTCGGGATTACCCAGAACCGACCACTGTCAAGCAATTACGCACGTTTAACGGCCTCGTAAGTTTCTATAGACGTTTCATACCGAAATGCGCATTACTTATGAAGCCTCTTACCGACCAACTTCGTGGAAATGCGAAATCCATTAATTTAGACGACACCGCACGAAAAGCATTCTCCACAGTTAAGGAAATGATTGCTAAAGCAACAATGCTCGCACATCAGGACACCCGAGCACCCATTAGCATCGCAGTAGATGCATCGGACTCGGCAATCGGAGGCGTCTTACAACAATGGGTTAACAACTCCTGGCAACCTTTGGCATTTTTCTCTAGAAGGTTGCTAGACACCGAATCGAGGTACAGCACATTCGGTAGGGAACACCTAGCTATGTATTGTGCTGTACGGCATTTCCAACACTATATCGAAGGCCGTGAATCCGCTCTTTTCACGGACCATAAACCGCTCACTTTCTCGTTAAGCTCTCCTTCAGACAAGTACTCTCCCCGTGAGTCTCGACAACTGGACTACATTTCGCAGTCTACTTCAGATATTCAACACATCTCTGGAGTAAACAATGTAGTTGCAGACGCCTTATCTCGCATAACTTCCTCAAACAGCTTCCAAGGAATCGACCTTAAACTCATCGAGCTTCAAAAAGAAGACAGTGATCTTCAGCACGAGTTATCGTCAACAACCCTTAAACTACGCATGAAACAGATGGGAACAGGTAAGGAAACCTTACTTTGTGACACATCTACAGGTAGGGATCGCCCAATCGTGCCGAAACATTATCGACGCAATGTCTTCAATACATTGCACAAACTTTCTCATCCAGGCGTTCGTGCAACCATCAAGCTTATAGCAGAACGGTTTTGCTGGCCTGGCATGAATAAAGACGTGAGGGAATGGGCACGCTCCTGTGTAAGCTGCCAAAAATCTAAGGTTATCAGACACAATAAATGTCCCTTAGGCTCATTTAAAACTCCCGATGCTCGTTTCGACCATGTTCATCTGGATTTGGTAGGACCTTTACCAGATCCAAATGAATACTCCTATCTCTTAACCTGCGTAGACTATTTCACTCGATGGCTAGAGGCAGTACCTATCAAGGACATCTTTGCTGAAACAGCGGACCACGCCTTCGTCGAACGACGGGTAGCAAACTTCGGCTGCCCTTCAACCATCACTACAGACCGCGGACGTCAGTTCGAATCTGGACTTTTCCGTTGTCTGACCACACAATTAGGAATCACTCGCTTCAGAACGACTGCCTACCACCCGCAAGCAACGGGTTGGTAGAACGTTTTCACCGACAACTGAAAGCTTCGCTATCAGCTGCAAACGTTTCACAGGGGACCGACGCTCTTCCACTCGTCTTACTAGGTATCCGCAATGCAGTTAAAGCTGACATTGGATACACTGAGGCTCAACTCGTTTATGGAACGACACTTCGACTTCCAGGAGAATTCGTGGATCCTTCATCCTCTTCAATGAACATGGATCTAACCTCCTACACGAACAGGCTTACAAACGCAATGCGTTCAGTTAAACCTGCTTCCACTCGACCTCAATCAACTGATGTTTTCGTTCAACCTGACTTACGATATAGTACACACGTTTTCGTTCGTCGAGACTCGCATCGACGACCATTCGAATCAGCATACGAAGGACCATTCAAAGTTCTTCAACGTGAATCTAAGTACTATATAGTCGATAATAACGGAACAAACGATAGTATCAGCATCGATTGCTTAAAAGCAGCGCTTTCTTTTTTCTTTTCCAGGACGGCTGGAAAAGAACGGTGCAGTTTACGAGGAGTCGAAATATTCGTTGTGACTTTTTTTACTATGTTGTACCTCGGTCCCATATAGTAAGGAAAGACGACCAGACGCTGCTACACTTAGTAAGCTATCAGAAGAGTGTTTACCAACGACAAACTCGTTGGGTTTAAACTTCTGGCTGGCCACGTTTTAGGGTCGTCACTGCCCCACTAGGGGAAGAG